CTAATCCACACAGCCAGTCCGCGCTAATCGAGACAGATCGACACAGCCAGTCCGCGCTAATCCACACAGCCAGTCCGCGCTAATCGAGACAGATCAACACTGCCAGTCCACGCTTATCAACACAGCCAGTCCGCGCTAATCGAGACAGATCAGCACTGCCGGTCCGCGCTAATCCACACAGCCAGTCCGCGCTAATCGAGACAGATCAACACTGCCAGTCCGCGCTAATCGAGACAGATCAACACAGCCAGTCCGCGCTAATCGAGACAGATCGACACAGCCAGTCCGCGCTAATCGACACAGCTAGTCTGCACTTATCGAGACAGATCAACACAGCCAGTCCGCGCTAATCGACACAGATCGACAAAGCCAGTCCGCACTAATCAACACAGATCAACACAGCTAGTCCGTGCTAATCGAGACAGATCAACACAGCCAGTCCACGCTAATCGACACAGCTAGTCTGCACTAATCGAGACAGATCGACACAGCCAGTCAGCGCTAATCGACACAGATCAACACAGCTAGTCCGCGCTAATCGACACAGATCAACATAGCCAGTCCACGCTAATCAACACAGCTAGTCTGCACTAATCGAGACAGATCAACACAGCCAGTCCGCAGTAATCAACACAGCCAGTCCGCGCTAATCGACACAGATTGACACAGCCAGTCCGCGCTAATCGAGACACATCGACACAGCCAGTCAGCGCTAATCGAGACACATCGACACAGCCAGTCCGAGCTAATCGAGACACATCGACACAGCCAGTCAGCGCTAATTGACACAGATCGACACAGCCAGTCCACGCTAATCAACACAGCCAGTCCGCGCTAATCGAGACAGATCGACACAGCCAGTCCGAGCTAATCGACACAAATCGAGACAGTGCACACTGATCCGCACAATCCATCCACACTAATCCACACAAACCGTCAGTATACACAGTCCACACTGATGGAGTCTGACACGCACACCCGGCTTAACACTGAAGACTGGTGAATAAAAAGTGAATTCCGGCCACAGACGGAAAGCGGAGAAGGTCTCACCGATGGCCTCGAATCTCTCCAGAGGAAAGGTCATGCACAAGAAGTTCTGCCCATTCTCCACGCCTGTGCTCGGGTACGAGAACTCCCCCACTTCCTGTCTAGGGGGGAAGTGAGGCGTACTGTGGACCAGCCAGAAGCCCTGAGTCTTATCCAATAGGACAACACCTGGAGGAAGAGGAGAGCG